AGTAAAATGGCTATTCCCAGGTTTATTGATTGTCGGCTGGTGGGTGTAGATAAGTGAGGTAACAGGCTAATAAGTTTGTTATGCCAATAGATAAGGGAAATTAATATAGGAATCAGGCTTTTCCTTTAGTATGATGTATTATTATTATTTGTTTAAGTACAAGTTGAGCTAGGCATTGTTGTATTGAGATTAATTGATCATTAACTAGTCAGTTTGGGGTAGGGAATAATATGTTTGGGAATGGGATAATTAGGACTACTAGCAGAAGTCCTATTATTGATGAGAGAAGCAAATAAACTTGCATTCATTTTAGCTCTCAGAGTGTCTTATGTTCTTGTACCTTTTTTTTTTGAAAGTGAGAAAGCAGTATTGAGGGGACAGAAAACCTCTCACAGGGGGAGGGGACCCTGAAGGGGTTGCTCATGTTCTTGTATCTGAATATTTTTTGGGTTTGGGCTTATAGGGTAAATAAACTTTGAAATTTTTCATTGAAATATAATAAAAAGTGTTAGGATTATATGGTAATAAATCATGTTGATGTATCTAGTTGAGGCATTTCACCATGGAAAGATCAAGACTTTCAATGTTTAACTTAAAAGGTTAATGCTGTAAACTTCATAGTGACATAATATACATAATGATCAGTTCTCAAAGTGTTTTAGTGGAACGAAATCTAGAACAATAAGAATAAAGCTCTGATTGGAGTCACAGATTTCTGAACATTGACCATAATAAAGGCCTGGTTGTGTTGATGCTGAGGTTTCTTGGTTTAGGCATCCTGGGACTGCATCAGTTTTTAAGCCTAATGATGGAACAACTCATGAGTGAAGAACACCTTCTGATAAGGTTAACACGTGGACTGGAATTTCCATAGGTAAACTACTTGGTTATTGACTTTTAATCATCAGAGTTCACCTGGTTTGAGGTCTACTGTAGGAATAATACAAGAGCCAAAGTTTAGGTATTTATAATCTGTATATTCACAGCGTCAGTATCACTGGTATCCCATAGTTTTAACAGTTAGAGAAGGATTATTGATTTAACCTATATGTAAAGGAAACATAGTGGGGAGAGTGATTAGGATGAGAATAACAGCTGATAAAATAGTTCATATTGGTTTTATTCTTGAGCAGCCATCGTGTGTGTTAATTTAGTTGTTACTATAAGGGAAATAATATAAAGAACTAATGAATTGATTAAGAAAATAAGTATTAAAGTATAGTCATGAAAGTGTAGAAGTGAAGGTGTAGAAGTTCTTCTGATAGGTGAGGTAGCATCTTGAAAGCCTAGTTGGGGGAAACCTCTTCAGGTCCCCTCCCACTGTGGGAGCTTTTCTGTCCTCTCAATACATCCTATTTTCTTTTAAAAAAAAAACAACCCTAAATGGAATGGAATGGGTATGCCATAAAGATATATAGGGTTTCAACCTATAAATTAACTTTGACAAAGTGGTATTTTTACTAATATTTTGTTAAGAAAGCCATAATGGTTATGGAGTTGGCTTGAAACCAGTTTTAGGGGGTTCGATTCCTTCCTTTCTTGTTTATGCTTTAACATAAGGTGGTTCTTCAAATGTGTGGTAGGGTGGTGGGCAGCTGTGAAGTCATTCAAGGTTTGTAGTTGATAATTCAATTGTTAAGACTTCTCATTTTGAGGCAAAGACTTCCCAAACTATAAAAGCTGTTAATGCCGGACTCGGTGACTCAGCCTGTAATCCCGTGCCTTTGGGAGGCTGAGGTGAGTGGATTGCCTGAGCCCGCGGGTTCGAGACTCGCCTGGGCGGTGAGACCTCATCTCTACAATAAATCAAAAAATCAGCCGGGTGTGGTAGCGCATGCCTGTAATTCCGGCTACTCGGAAGGCTGAGGCGGAAGGATCGCCGGAGCCCAGCAGGTCGAGGCTGCGGTGGCCGGGAGCGGCCATTGCACTCCAGTATGGGCGACAGAGTGAGACTCCAACTCAAAAAAAAAAAAAAAAAAAAAAAAAGCTGTTAATATTTCTGCTCTAAGTGAAATAAATGAACCTATGGACGAGACGGTATTTCATATGGTTTATGCATCAGGATAATCAGAGTATCATCGAAGTATTCCTGATAATCCAAGAAAGTGTTGAGGAAAAAATATCAGGTTAACTCCATCAAATGTAATTGTGAAGTGAATTTTAGCTGAGGTTGGGTGAAGTGTGTAACCTGAAAATAAGGGGAATCAGTGGACAAAACCCCCTAATATAGCAAATACTGCTCCTATCAATAGTACATAGTGGAAGTGAGCTACAATGTAGTATGTATTGTGAAGAACAGTATCGAGCAACGCATTAGCTACTACAATTCCTGTTAGACCTCCAACAGTAAATAAGATCAAGCCTAGAGACCATAGTATAGTGGGTGATCATTTGATATTACTATCATGTAAGGTTGCTAATCAGCTAAATACTTTTATGCCTGTAGGGAAAGCAATGATTATAGTGGCTGATATAAATTATGCACGGATATCTATGTCTATACCTACTGTAAATATATGGTGACATCATACAATGAAGCCTAGGAAGTCAATGGACATTATGGCTCATACTATTTCCATGTAGCCAAATGGTTCTTTTTTTCCCAGAGTAATATGTTACGATATGAGAAATTATTCCAAATCCTGGAAGAATAAGAATGTAAACTTCTAGATGATCAAAAGATCAAAATAAATGTATCGATAAAAAATAGGGTCACCCCCTCTGGCCGGATCAAAAAAGTTGTGTTAAGGTTGCAGTCTGTTAATAGTATACTAATTCCAGCAGCTAGGACTGGAAGAGATAAGAGATGTGGTACTGCAGTAATTAATATAGAACATACAAATAAAGGAGTCTCATATGGATATATATATATTCATAATATATACTAATAATAGATGTAATAAAATTGATTGCACCTAAAATTGATGATACTCCTGCCAAGTGAAGAGAGAAGATGTTAAGGTCTACAGAAGCTCCTGCATGGGCTAGGTTTCCTGCAAGGGGAGGGTAAACAGTCCACCCTGTACCTACACCAGCTTCAAGTATAGAGGAGGCGAGTAATAAGTTTCTAATACGACCTTTAGATACCTCAACAAAACAACATATGCAACCGAAAGGACATAACATGGATTTATTATACCCAATAAGCAGTCATTTTAACATTGCCTAAATCTCAAGGTTTTCTAGCATTCACTTAACTTACCCTCTAATTACTAGCCAAGGACAGAACTGGTTTCTCAGAGGTAGCTATTGACAGTTGCTTTACAACCCCCTCCCCAGCTTGTTACTAATTAGCTTTTCTATTCCAAGTATTTGCCTCCATGCGGAAGACCCAAGTTAACCTAATCAGCCCTTCATGACACAGACAGACCTCACCACCATGGCAGCAATCATGTAACTAACCCATCCATCGGCCTGTTGTCTATCACCTGATGTCAGTACTTGCCCTTAGCTGCCCCTTCCTGATGAGGTGGAGCAGACCACCATCCAATCACCTTAATGACCTTCCCCACCAAAGGGAAGGATTTAGAGGATTCAACCAGGAGCAGCCATGGGCCCTTGCCTGACTAGACTCCGCTGTGGCCATGCGCTCTTGGAGCTATGGCTGCCAACACATTTCCTGGCTTTGGCCCCCTCCCCTAAGAGGGGAATCTCTTCTCTTTCTCTGATTTACTTTCCAGATAAACTATAATTTCTAATCTAATGTCTGTGCAATCCGTTGTATCTTTCTCGCAGCACCGGATAGCACACCACACACCCACACGGGGTAGGGGGCCTGACCTAACATTCTGGAGGCGCCGCTGGGAGTGTGACCTAACAGCAACAGAATGAATACAGAGGGAATTATGAGAATCCAGGTGTTTTCTTTTCTTTTCTCTTCTTTTGAGTTGGAGTCTTGCTCTGTCGTCCAGACTGGAGTGCAGTGGCCGCTCCCGGCCACCGCAGCCTCGACCCGCTGGGCTCCGGCGATCCTTCCGCCTACCACGCCCGGTTAATTTTTGATTTATTGTAGAGATGAGGTCTCGCCAAGTTGCCCAGGCGGGTCTCGAACCCGCGGGCTCAGGCCGTCCACTCACCTGGGCCTCCCAAAGCGCTGGGATTACGGGCTGAGCCACCGAGCCCGGCCCCAGCTGTTTTCTATTATGCCAGAAATTAAAACGATTGTCTAAAAGAAATGTAAAACGATGCCATTATTCACGAAGTCTTTTTTGCTTCTTTTGGAAAACATATTTAATTTTCATTAAAATGTTACTTAGGTTAGCCCGTGATGTGAGTATCATAAATCTTGGTGTTGTCAAGAGTCAATTGCGGGAGCCAGGGACTGAGCTGGGGAGGCCCGAGCGGCCGGGAGCCTCAGCGCGCCCCCTTGCGGGCGCGAGGGGGCGCGCCCCGAGTGGGAGGAAATCTTCGCAGAGGCTTCCGGGAGTTGTAGTTTTGCGCCGCTGGCCGCAATGACGCATTTCCTACGCGTCTGGTCACGGCCGCCATTGCGCGGCGCCGGTGGGGAAGCCTCGTTCCGCCGGCGGCGTTCCTGAACCGTGGCGGTCGTCCGAGTTACCCGAGCCTGGAGCGGGTAGCCTTGTCTGGCCCGAGGAACACGCAGAAGGAGCTGGGACGGGCGCCGCAGAGTCAGCCGCGAGGACGGAGCCGATCTGGCGTGAGGCCTTCCGGCTGCAGATCCGGCGGTGGAGGCGACCTGTTTCCCCCGCTGCGGCTTGAGGGTTTGGAGGAGGCAGGGGCGCCCGGTTCCTCCAGTTTCAAGGCGGCGGACGGTACAGCACTAATCTGGCTTCCTTCTCGCCTGCTTCAGACCCGAGGCGGTTGCCCGACGATCCTGTGTGTGGGTGGGGGCGTGGAGATGGGGAATCTGTGACTGTGGGAGGGAGGGCGTCTCAGCGCCCCGGAGGGCGGGGTGCCGTGGTGTCGCGGACCTTCCCTCCGGGGGGTCGCAGACGTCAGGGAGACCGCTGTGTTCACGGTGCTGTCTTTTCTAGCATCGCTCGCGTCCTGCCACCTCCCTCGAGGCGCGCAAAACCGACCCCCGTGGGGATGGCCGCCAGGGTCCGGACAGCGTCCATCTGGGTGAGTAGGGGTGTTCTTTCATTCCCGACAAGCTCTCCCTGAAGGCCAGCGTGAACACACTCCATCTCTTCCCAGGTCTTAGTTTGCCAAGAGCTTTGTCACCCCACCACTCTTTCAGGTAGCTGGTCTTCCATTAGAAAGAAGCTAGACTTCCCAGAAATGCTTTTGGTCATCAGGCTTTTCATTTCTTCCTCCTTTTGCATTTCTGGCAACTTTATTCCCTGAACTTCGAGTTAAACAAGGGGTATTCATCTGTCTTTCAATGTGTTTTCAACCTGTGTTTAGAGTGTCTGCTGTGTCTGAGATCCTTGAGCCTCATCTTGGAAATTATGTACTTGTTTATTCACTTTCCTCAGTTTTGTTTGTTGCTTTTTTTGCTAGACCCCAAGGCAGGCGCTAAAAGTGCAAAGATGAGTTGTTCACCATCCATTTCTTGGCATAGCAGTGTTCTTGGGACAGTGGACAGAAAAAAGCACAATGACCAGTTAGTAGGTACTGTGGGAGCAGTCTGCGGAAGTACATGGGGACACACAGCAGAGGGTCAGTTTTGGAAGTAAGGACACCCCAAGAAGTGATTCAGAGATTAACGGATTCTTGGAGATTGAGATGGAGACCCAGAGAAGTGAGAAAATGAGACACATGTGTTTCAGAGTTAAAGAAAAGGAAACCTCGGGCAACACCCTCGGGTCCCTTCCCACTGTGGGAGCTTTTCTATCCTCTCAATAAATCCTTCTTTCCAAAAAAAAAGGAAATCTCAAAAGTGGTTGCTATGTGAGATGCACCAGAGAGATCAAGTAGTATTAGTATTAGATCATTGTCTTAGTCTGTTTGTGCTGCTATAATAAAATACTGCAGACTAATTTATTTGTTTTTTTTTTTTTTTTTTCTTTTGAGTTGGCGTCTCACTCTGTCGCCCAGACTGGAGTGCAATGGCC